CTACGGCAGAAGTCAAATGGAAGCAAATAACAAGACAAGTGCTTGTTTTTTTACTTTTTACAAAAGTTGTTGCTTTCATTTCAAAATGAACACTGAGCCAAGTGAGGAAATTTGCTCTGTCAAGGGCTTATTCGCTTGTTGTAATTCCGGGCTAAAAGTTATGGTGGTTAACCAAGTTATTCTGGCTCATAAAATCAGCGATCAATTGCAATGGCTGACTGTATGCGCGGAGCAAAATGTTTAAAAGGTGTTAACGTTTGCGTTCTTCATGATATAGCGTTCTTGTTTACTAAGTAACCTTTTTTAGCCAGTTACGATCAAATTCCATAAAATAAATCTTAGTGCCTTTCTATGTCTATATATTTCAGTTTTTTAAATTAACAAAACAGTTTATTTAAGTTTTATCGACTATTTATCAGTTTTGATTCACTTTGTTTAATTTTTGTCATCCTTTGCTGTTGTAATCTAGTGTGTTTAGCAGGTCAAATACTCAAATTGCACGCTATGTGTTCTATAAAATGCACACTTTTCGTGACATATAGCACACTACAAGAAACAAAAGATTTGGTGTGCTAACTTAACCTAAACAAAGTGAAGTGTGTCCTTTTTTGTTTTAGCAATTTAATATAAGTGTGTCGTGAGTGTGCTTTCACCTTTAGCATCAAAATCCTGTGAAGGGTCACATATTATACCATTAATAAGAAATTGCATGCTTTGAGGATTCTCTTTCACAATGTGTGAGGCCAGCCATTTTACTTCTGCTGCTTGGTTTGGGTGATTCGTAAAAAATCCAGGCAACTGAGCTTATACAGTGGGCTGGAACAGTGGTGAACTTGATTTTCCTACTGTGTCATAAACAGGTTTTGTATGGTACTTGGGTAAGAGGGATTGCCTTTTATGTACCAGTATATTTTACGAAAAAACTTCTAATCTTTATGTTACAAACAAACACAATTTTTTTGCTTAAAATGTAAGTTGTCGTGTGGAAAACTAACAGAATGGTGATAAAAATTGGACAAGATAATTACTCGCAGAATTGGTAGAAATACATGTAAACTCATTGCTGGTGATTTCAGAAGCTCTAAATTTCAGTTTTTTTGGGCCAACATGCCCTTGGACCCCTCTACATGTACAAAAACTCTCGCCTTTGGCGCTTGTTGAGCTCACGCTATGCACGAGCTAGCCCCATCAAAAGAAAAATAATATGTTCTATAGTCAAAGAACAATGTTTTATGGATACCCTAAATCAAGGATGCAAGAAACAAGCTGTTGAATCAAGAAGTAAACTTCATAAAAAAAATACCTATTTTATAGTTATCAATATCTGATAGTTCTGACTCCTTAATTTCACCAGTTTGAAAGGGTCCCCATCTCACTGCTTTTATCTACAAAGTGTTAAAATAAATGTGCTATATTATCAAAGTCAGTAAAAAATTCTTAGAGAAAAATTACTTTGCTTGTTCAAAGATTATCCTATGGAATCTTTATAATTGGATGTATAGTGGAAAGCTTACTTTTTCAACCCCATCCACACACAAAAAAATCATGGAAAGTGTTGGAGGGAGAAAAAAAAATATCGTGGAAATGCATACTTCAAGAAAAAATTAATGGTGAAATTAATGGGTTGAAAAAAAAAACATGCCTACAACAAATAACTCAACCCTCACCCCCCCCCCCC